GCAAATGAATGATAATCTCCCGGAAATCGCGCGTCTCCCGCCCGGTCATTAAACACTTTGCACACCCCTCTCCACCGCATCCCTCCCAGCTCTTCAGGTACGTCGCGCGCAAGTCACCCCCACCGCTCTTCAGGTACGTCGCGCGCAAGTCACCCCCACCGCTCTTCAAGTACTCATCTTTTCCGCTACCTCCCGCAAATCAACTCTGTATCCCCCGAAAATGACTTTTCCCAACTCGGGATGTCTGACGTTAGTAAGTTAGGCTATTTCTGTTGTCAGGAACATCTTAGTCAAGCTTTTTCTCCCGCATGATATTGTGCTTAAACTATAGGCTAAACTTAGCATGTACTGTACACAACATTTCCGTTTTATTAAAGACAGTTTCGTTTTATTTACAGCCACCTGTCTGTAAAATTAATCAACTGATTCATATTTGAGCAGCCTAATGATGATACAGGTTTGATTTGTAGATTTATCAATAATCAACATCTGAATCAAAAGATATCTGAAAAAGTGTGAGGCATACTTTGTGATGTTCATCTCTCTTTTTTATCTGAAGGTTATGCATATGTGTTAGATACAAATGTTTTGTTGTTTTTTAATAGCCACAGTTCTCTATACAATAACACAAGACCCTGTGACGGTGGCTGATTAGAGACGGATGGTGTATTTCCAGAGTTGGTGAAATGACCAAGCACACCTTCTTGGTCATATGTGGTGATAATAATGAAGGTATGTTTGATAAAGTTCTGTATTTGTTTCACAATAAGCTGAGAGGGTATTAGAGCATTAGAGAATAACAAATGACATGAAGGTGATAAGTTTTGTATTGGGGGTGAACTGTTACTTAAATAATGTTTTGCTCTTTACTTTGCACTTTTCCTCTTCTGCTTATCCTAATATTTTAGATTATATTTGGACCTGAAACATCTGCTAGACTCCAGGATAGGTGGCGTCAATACTGGACCTGAAAGGGCCTAACAAGTTGAATCTGGTAAAGAAACACGCACGCACACACACACACACACACACACACACACACACACACACACACACACACGCACACACACACGCACGCACACGCTTACAGAAAACTGTAAGTTTATGAATATTTTTTACACTGTGGCCAATATTTTGGGGAAGTCAGCATCACTAAATGATATAAAACATTTTAAGCTCCTCTAAATTTTGCTCCAAGTGATGTGTTAAATTGAGGATTCTGGACAGACAGCTGCCTGTTTTTCCAGTTCTAGTCATAGTGGTTAACCTAATTGTTTTTGTAGATCCAACAGTGATATATGTGCTTTTTCTACTTTTCCATATCCTGTCACCTCAACCAGCTGGGAGAGTCAAGTTGTGGATCATCATGAAGATTTTCAAAAGGTGAGTTTAGATTTCTTGAATGTTTTATTTACTTTAAATGATCTTTTAAATATATCATAGAATTTGATTGCAATTTGTTTTTGTTTTCAAACATTTTTCTTAGTCATGCTGGAGTCTTGAAGAGTTCTTAGATGAGCATCACCCTATATCCGTGCACCAGGAACCACCAGACGAGCGATCAGCAGCTACTACATTGTCATGGATAAAAAGGTCATCCTGTGGCTGGGAAGCACTTCATTCACAGGACATGCTTGATGAGATTTCCTAGCTCCAGTTTGTTTTCACACAAGTTTACAGCATTTATACCTTCATTTAAACTGCTGTGTTTGATATGGAGGACCAAGGAAACACCAGGGGCCTCATGTACGAAGACTTGCGTGGAAATCTTACTAAAACATTGCGTACGCACGAAGCTGTAAATGTGCGTACGCAGAAAAAAATTCAGATGTATGAAACACTGCGTACGCCGAATCTCACGCATATTCTTTTGTACATCTGAATGAACGTGAAACTGAGCGCAACATGCACGAGCACAAAACCCCTCCCTGCCTCCTCCCCCGTATGAATATGCTAATGACTATGCTAATGGCAAAACCCAACGAAAAAGCAACGGCAAAATCAAGCAAAAAGAGAAACTTTGAACAGAATGTGAATTGGAGGTGCTGCTTTCGGAGGTAGACCGGAGAAAAGCGGTGTTATTTGCAAGTTTGTTCTCCGGAATTAACAACAAAAGAAAAAAATAGAGTGGGAGAGTTTAGCTGATACGGTTAACACAGTTGGGTCTGAACATCGCACTGAGTGCATTTAAAAAAGAAGTAGTCTGGTTTATAACTGAAAAATGTTGCAATACCCTAAGCGGTCTCAGTGGCGCACCTCATAAGAAGCATGAGATCATGTACAGACAAATTTGAGCGTAAACTCGGCTCGAATCCAGCGTCTGATAAATTCTTTCTTCTTTTTTCCCCCGCTACATATCAGATTTTGCCCACTATTTATCAAGAGAAAGACAAGTAGGAATCATCAATAAGTTTGTGCATCATATTTTATTTGCACATTTATTGAATGGAAATGTTTCTGATTCACGCATGCAAATTCATCTTCAGATAGTGTCTTTATAGCAATGTGTGTGCGGTAGATTGCTCAGATTACATTGCGACTGCTGCAATTTGCGCTTTAATGTTTAGCTGGTCAACTGTATGGTATGGAAATCTTACATACCTACTATATGAACCCGTCTCATACAGCTGCCATTGCAAGGATCAGACACTTTGTAGAGAAGAATTTAACACAACTGCCTCTAGGAGTCGCCAATGGAAATAAAACAGACACGCACAAAAAATGTGCGTACGCCTGCCAGAAAGCTGCCGTGAACCTGCGCACATTCCCACGTTCAGTTCATTGTTAGTAAATCCAAACGTGAGCGATTCTGAGCGTGAAACCTGGCGTACGCAAAGTTTTTGTGCGTACGCAGCGTTGATACATGAGGCCCCAGAAGTGAAAGATTTGCACGCCAAGTTGTTTAAAATGTAATTTCAGAAGAAAACTATGCGTTCAAAAGAAAACTATGAGTGACGATATATTGAACTTTCAAATTGCTCTGATGAAACATCAAGTTTGGACCAAAGGACTAAAACAGCCTTTTTGAGCACTGGTCATACATATTTTGTTAATACTGTTGATACTAATAAAACATTTAAAGCATATTTGACATTGTTGCATTTTAAAAACTGAATGAATTGTTGAAGTGGTGAATGTTTTCAAATAAAATGTTTTTTCTTTTGTAATTTACAGTCTATTTGACCTTTTTACCATATTTACACTCAAGAGAGTTGAATAAAAAAAACAATATATTACACCAGGCGGTGTTAAATATAGTTACATTTTTTAACTCTGCCCAGAGTTAAAATTAACCCTTACTTCGGTGTCAATATGCCGACCCTTTTGAAAGTGTTGATTTAACTCTGTTTTGAGTGGACCCCATGAGACACTTTCAAAGTGTTGAAATTAACACCCATAGAGTTGTTTTGGGTCCCCATATTTTGCTGTGTATAGTCGCCATGGGTATCTTCCTAAATAACTTAATAATATTTTTTAAATTACTAGAAAACATTGCTTTATATTAACTAATGCAGCATCATATATTTTACATTTTTATAATGAACTTATAATTTCTTGAACTTAGAATTTATAACAGAATGAAGTTACAGTAGTTTTTGCTTTGATTTGCTCCCCGATGTCTTCTGCATAGTCCTCTATCTGTCGAGTGACAGTATTTACATTTTTAAAAATCTGATTCATTTAAAACATTTCATTGAAACATTTAGGGCCCTATCATACACCCGGCGCAGTGTGGCGCAAGGCGTGACGCAGTAGTCTTTTGGTAGTTTAAGCTTGGCGCAAGAGTCGTTTTGAGGCGTTGCGCTTCGCTGTTTAAATAGCAAACGCATTAGCGCTCATTTGTGCGCCCATAGGCGTTCTGGTCTAAAAAGGGAGGCGTTCTAAGGCGGAACGCTGTCGCGTTATTATTTTGAGAAACTATAATACATTTTTCATTAGACCAAAACTAACCCGGTCTAAACTCCGGCGCAGAGTTGCGCCTCGCTTACACACTGCTTAATACGCACAAGAGAGCAATAGGCAAATATCTTTACATATGAAAAAATGTAAATATTAAGGATATATATATATAGTATATAATAAGAATAAATATAGAATATAAATATAAAGGATTAAAATATTACAAAACATATTATTTTCTAGCCTACATAAATATGAAAAACCACTGCTTTTGTGTCTTCTTCATCTCGGGAGGCTTTTTCAGTTTATTCATAACAATTTGCTTTTGTATAATGTTATTATTATTAGCAGTATTATTTATTATATCCATATTTATATTTGTTTTATTAAAAACATGCTTCGATTTGCCCACCTGTAAGGTTTTAGACCATATGGGGCACAGCATGTGTTTTAGGATATAACTCAGGTTTTTGAACACACTTCGTTATTATTATTCATTTATTCGTTTGCTGGAAATTAGAACTGAATTTAGAAATAGTTTTGAAACGAATATTTGCGCTTAACAAACAAAAGTATTTATTTATAGACTAATTGATGTCTGTGCGTAAAGGTTTCCCTATCCAAGAGTGAAAGTGAAAGTGATCCATTATCTCTCATTCTCACGCAGTAGATGCTCTGTTTAACAGTTTTCTGTTACAAAACTGCTTACTGTTAACTGTTTACTAGTGAAATGCTCAGTTTTTCCACTTAGACTTACTTTGCGTCCTGTAAATAGCGAATGCGCTCTTGGCGCGACGCAGCTGACTCTTAAAGGGAATAGGAGATGAGACTCTAATTGGTTTATTCTTAAAACACACCTATAACTCATTAAGAAAATAAACTCAACCCTTTTAGACCATGCGCCGAAGCGCAAGGCAGATTTCCCATCCTTAAATTAGGAAAAACGCGCTCTGACACGCCCTGAAAGCATTTGCGCCCTGCGTTTTGCGCTCTGCGCATGGACCGTCAAAATAGAGCCCTAAATTGCAGTTTGCCTTTTTTGTAGCTCAGCAGTAAAACAAAAATCCAATAAAAAAAAGTTTACGTCAGATGGGATGGTGGGCCAAATGGAAGGTTACAATGGGCCAACTTTGGCCCACGGGCTCTACTTTGGGTGTCTCTGCATTATAGAATAAATATAGTTCAGTAATATCTAGTAAGTTTAAAATGAAAAGCTAGAAAAATCTAGTAAATTTAGAGAAACTCAGTTTTCAAGGTGTCTTTTAAATTTTTTTCTCAATTAAGTTTTTAACGAATTTGTTAAAAATGTGTACTTTCACGCTCAAATTTCATAATAGTTAGTAGTTTGCCTTGTGTTGTTTTCTGCACTCACAAATTAATTTTAAATGCACTACAAAAAATGTGATTTTTTTTTTAGATTTGGTTTTTTAACACGCTGTAAATGGTAGACTAATCACAACGGCCATCTGATTGGCCATCTGACCAATCAGAGCAGAGCAGGCACTTGGAAAGGCGGAGCTGTAGAGACAGAATCCTTTAACCAACTGTTTCAGACACTGAGAGAAAAGAGCTGACACTGCATTGGATATTATGAGATAAGTACAGTATATTTTGATCTTGGATAGCTGTGAATCTATTGTAGGACACGTCTAAAAGGAGTTAGGAACTTTTAAAATAGCATAATAGGGCCACTTTAAAAAGTGTTTTTGCCCATTAGACTGCCAGAGCTCATTAATGTTAACTCAAACATACAATTATCCTCTCTGTGTGTTCTAAAAGGGAAAACCGCTTTCTACAGACAGCATAATGACAATGCTGGTCGAGATGCACATGAAACCGGTTACTCTCACAGAAAGGACATTTCTTTTAGTCCCACATTATTAGTTCCTCTCAGCGGGTCTGCAGATGTCAGCAGAGATGTGGTCAGCCTCTCCAGACGCTCGCTGTCATTTCACACAATTGCTGCCAGTTGAGGCTGCCAAAGAGCCATTTCAAAAAATTCAATCATACACCAAGTCCAAATGCATTAGGAAAGAGCTGCGTTATGATGTTTGTCATTTTCAGACCCTGCATGGGACATGATTTTGGAAGTTACTCTGGCCCTGATAGCATTGCCAAGATGTCCATTTCAAGGTAGCGATTTCCTCTGGAAGATGTCATTTTTAAGTTGTTTGTTTATATGCATTATGTCACTAAGACTGGTCTTGTCGTTTATTAGAAAGATGTTTTTGCAAGCATTGCAAATATATAGGGGGTGGGATATCCCTTATTTTCCCATCTCAATGTTGACACTTTAAAAAGTGGCTTCCACAATGCTTACAAAAACATCTTTCTAATATCCGACAAGACCAGTTTTAGTGACATAATGCATATAAACATACAACTTGAGCTGAACTGAATTGTATCGCATTGAATAGAACTGAATTAACATTAATTCAGTTTCTTTAGTCTGATAATATTAAAATGTCATTATTGGTATGCTGTCAGTTCTTCGTTTAATGGCTAACTTTAATTTTCTTTGTAAAAAAAATAAAATAAATAATGAAGGTGCTTTCAAACTTGACCAAAGAATAGATCAGAAATAAATTTAATTTCTGCATGACGCAAAGCATTAAAAAACAAATACAGAATCACAATTAATCTCTGTGCCATCCTGACAACATTTCTGTTCTGTATTATCATTGGAAATCTCAATGGTTCACTATAGCCTGAAAAAAATGTAAATAAAAAAATCTTTCACATACCTTTGGATTGGTATAGCAGTAAATTTTTGTGGTTTTAAAATCTTAAAACCGCGGTATACCTTGAAAACGATTATCGTCCCATGCCTAGTCCAAAGATGTGAATTTTTTTATTTTATTTATTTTTTTATTTATTTTTACACAGACCAGTCATTCATTTTGTATTTATTTATTTTTTATTTGTTTGTTTATTTTGGCCATTAGTTTTTTTATTAATTTATTTATACATGTATTTGTTTGTTTGTTTATATATTTAATTGTTTGCTTGTTATTTTTATGTATTTGTTTGTTTGTTAATATATGTAATTGTTTGTTGGTTTGTTTGTTATATTTATTTGTTTGTTAATGTATTTGTTTGGCTGTTTATTTATTTATTTATTTGACACATTTATATTATAATGTGTGTTAGAAACTATGTCCATGCACCTTAAATTGCCAACTTAAGTTAAATAAAATAATTTAATAATAATAAAGTCGATTAAACTGAACTGAATTTAATTAAATTGTTTATTTGGCTGTTTGTTTATTATATTTATTTATTTATTTTTATAATTTTTTTGTTTATTATTTATTCACTTATTTGTTTTTGTTTGTTTCTATATTTATTGGTTTATTTGTTATTTAATTAGCTGTTTGTTTTTTTATTAATTTATTTTAAATTATTAATTTATTTTTTTGTCACATTTTTTTTTATAATGTATTAGAAACTGTCCATGCACCTTGAATGGCCAAAAAAAGGTTAAATAAAATAATTTAATAATAATAAAGTGAATTGTACTGAACTGAATTTAATTAAATTGTTTATTTGTTTGTTTGTTATATTATTTATTTGTTAATTTTTTTATTTGGCTTTTTATTTGTTAATTTATTTGTTTATCATTTATTCATTTATTTGTTTTTGTTTGTTTATATATTTATTTGTTATTTATTTATTTGGCTGTATGTTTGTTTTTTTATTAATTTATTTTAAATTATTAATTTATTTGTTTGACACATTTTTTTTATAATGTGGTTTAGAAACTATGTCCATGCACCTTGAATGGCCCCCCCATAGGGTCAAATAAAGTAACTTGAACGGAACTGAATTGAATCACATCGAATTGAACTGAATTCACATTAAGCCACTTTAGTCTGATAATATCAAAATGTCATTATTGGTATGCTGTCAGTTCATGTCTTCATTTAATGGGTAACTTTAATCTTCTTTGTTAAAAAAATAATGAAGGTGCTTTCAATCTTGACCAAAGAATAGATCAGAAACAAATTTAATTTCTGCATAACACAAAGCATTAAAAACAAAAACAGAATCACAATTGATCTCTGTGCCATCCTGACAACATTTCTGTTCTGTATTATCATTGGAAATCTGGTTCACTATAGCCTGATTTTTATTTCTCTCAGATTTCCGTAGTGAATAATAATCCTCTTCCACCGTCTGATGGTGTCCTGCTTGGCTCACAGAAGATGGAAAGATGTCTCCATATGGCGTGGTCTGGTGTCCTGGGTGTGGAAGGGCACGTCTTTGTCATGCTGTCGTTCTCAGAGAAAGGCAGATCCTGGGAATGCCCGTGTGCCGTGGGTTCCCGTCGTCATGTGCCACTGTACCCGCTGACCTGATCACGTCAATCCTGACATTGTTCTAGGTTTTGCTGCTGCGTCGTCGTGGAAACGGTATGTTGCAAAATAATGGCATGTGAGAAGGAAGTGATGATAGTGATACGGGCATGGGAAAATTGCATTTGGGTGGTCTGATTGGCTGACAGAGTAATGTCACGTGCACTTAAGAGAGATGACACTATAGTTTAACAACAGCAGTCAGAATGAAATGCAAATTGCAATAATTTACATATTCTTTGAATTCAAACAATATTTGAATAATAAAATATTTTTTATTATTCAAATATTGAAATTTTGAATATTGACAGAACTTCTCTCATCTTCAGTATTGTTTGCATCTGCTTGTGTTTTGGCTGGATACTATGGTGTTACAAGGTTGCTTTTCTCAAATCATAGTTGCATAATCTCATAAAATTTATTTGACTTAATGTGCGTCACAAACAGCATACTTTCTGTGCCATTTTGTTGTATAATTAGTGTGTGTAGTGCATTCACACTGATGATCCTAAACAAAAATAAGGGGTGATGCACTTATTTAACCAATAAAAAGACGTGTGTAATGTTCATGTAGCGCAAGAGAAGGAACGATAAGGTGCTGAGGTTGGATTGTTATAAGATAATGTGAAAATCTCTCTGACCACTCATTTATTTAATATTTTAAATCAGTTTTTATTTATTTATTTATTTATTTATTTATTTATTTATTTATTTATTTATTTATTTATGTCATTGTTTATTAATTAACTTAATTTTTCATTGTTTATTTATTTCATTGTTTATTTATTTAACTTTATGTATTATTTTAATTAATTAATTAATTAATTAATAGGACCATAGGTTGGTGTTCCTGATCTTGTCAGGCCAGCGAATGTGTAGAATCTTTCTGTTGATGAAAGTCTGGATTCTTTGGGTGGTAGTTTAGGTTATCCTGCAGGTTTCGGCCCCGTACAACAATACTGACTTCACTTTTTTATAGTATTTGTATTTTCATGTATTTTCATAAACGTGAGTAGTTTTAGCTGTTTAGTGCTGTTTAATATCCTTAGTCATTTCCACATAGATTTGGAAAGTGACAAGGTAGATTTCTCAGATGAAGCATCTGTTGAAGTGCATCCCAATCATCACAAATACTGCAGAAGACCTATTGGAATCCACATGGAGACAAGATTCTTAGAGAAATCAGTCAAGTTTGGTGAAGGAAAAATCATGGTTTGGGGTTACATTCAGTATGGGGATGGCAACATCAACAGCCTGAGGTATCAAGACATTTGTGCTGCCCATTACATTACAAACCACAGGAGAGGGCAAATTCTTCAGCAGGATAGCACTCCCTCTTATACTTCAACCTAAAACAGGGCTCGAAATTGCGACCATTTTGGTCGCATATGCGCCCGAAAATTTATCTATGCGACCTCATAATATATATGGGAGCATTAGTGCGACTGCAGATAATGGTTGTAGTGCGACCTGTTTTGATTTTTTGTGAAAACGTGCTGAATCGCTCTTCACTGCCGCTATATTGGTTTATATTAGCTGTCATTCACTCAAGGTATTCCGCTGTCAGATGACAGGGAAGGAGCTTTTATGACCACGAGGAATGCAAACGGCTGAAGAGTAAAAACTTAAAGCACACAGGTTTACAAACCCCACCTAAAGTTGAGGCGCAGATAAGAGCGATCATAACACGTCACGTGGTGAATAATGATCCGCCAGCTGAGATCAATCGAGTACGCGCTTCTTGGAGAAGGCGCCCGAATCTCCATGCGTTGCATTCACTGCGTGTTCAGCGCAAATGTCCGCTAAAAGTCAAATCTAATACTGTACATATCATCGCCAAAGAAGCTCGCCTTTACTAAGTTTACACTGAAACTGCGGCTCATAACAAAGACCGGTATTGCGCCGATGGTTAGCGCAAGAATCTTGCGCTGCCTGCTCATAAAATAGGTCGGCTGACTCGCCAGCTTTTCCACTAACACAGAAAAATGAAGATCATCTCAGACTGAACCTTTAAATTGACACAAACTGAAACCAAAACTTTTAAAGAGTGATAGAAGTGAGACTTTACTTACTTTCTTTTGTCTATTCTTGTTTGAGGTGTATATTATTTTTATTTTTATTTACTGATGACTGCTTTGCAGCTTTCATCATTGAATTGAATGATTTATTATAATCTTTTGTTTGTTTTGTAGCAGAAATATTATTTATTAAATTGACATGCATATAAAAACAGCAGTACAAAATAAATATTTCTTACTGCAATGCTTCATTTTTGTTTGATGCAAACTATACAATTATTTTTCATAAAGTAACAGACTTTTTATAGCAGAAAACCTACATTCATGCACATTCAAGGCAGTATCATAATGAGAAATGGAATTCATTTGTTACTATTATTGTCATTTTCATTATTATTAATATTCTATAATTATTAGACATTCATTTTGGAATTATTGCACACAAATATCAATGTTTTCACAGCTTTAATTAGATAGTTGTTTCTGGTTTTTGTCAGTCCTATTAATGTTGTTTTAAAATACAATAAATCCTTTAAAAAAACAATTTGCAGCGGTGCTCATTCATTTTTGGTGGGTGCTCCTAAATTTTTTCTGGTGCTCCTAAAATTTTTTTGGTGCTCCTAAATATTTGAAGTTGGGAGCACCGGTGCTACCAAGTAAAAAAGTTAATTTCGAGCCCTGTAAAATATTATGTATTTTCATTATGTCAAAGACAAAAATAAATTTGTTATTAGAAATGAGTTATTAAAACGTTTATGTTTAGAAATGTGTTGAAAAAGTCTTCTGTGCCTTAAAAAGAAATTGGGGGAAAAAATGAAGGGGGGGAGGGGGGGTGGCTAATAATTCTGACTTCAACTGTATGTCCAAACATATGAACTATAATTTCATATGTTTTCATATTTCAATTTGGTATCTGCAGCAACTTATGCTTGAAAATTACCTTAATTCTCCAATGTGACAGTAAGTTTTTTAGCTGCAGTTGTTTAAGAACTTCCGTTTCAAAGTCAAGTTATTATTTGTTGCTGTTATAACTGGCATTGACGACAAGACTTTTGTCAGGTAGTATCTATAAATATAAACAATCAAGCCTGAAATTATTTTAACCTCTGGGTTTATATAGACAATATAATATATGTAATTTTCATATCATATAATTTGGAAAAGAAAGATGTTGAATAAATACTTTATGTTGAATAAATACTAATAATTTATATATATATATATATATATATATATATATATATATATATATATATATATATATATATATATATATATATATATATATATATATATATATATATATATATATATATATATATATATATACTA